TGGGGGTGAGGTGGGAGGACAGATGTGTATAAGAGACAGTATATATACAGTATGTTTGTATCGATGTGTGTGTGCTGTATGTATATATATTTAATTGTATATAATTTTTGGAACTGAATAAACGCTGTATCGATTTCTTCGTGTTACATAGCTCCATTGTGTCAATACAGAACTTCATCCGGCCGGTTTGGCAAATTTTCTAATTAAAATTTCCTGAAATCGGATGATAGATCTGGGATATATTCTTTTATAAACATATGTTGTATGTTTTATTTTTCAGCTGAAAAGACAATGAGTGGGTTTTTAGGCAAAATAACCGAAAATATGGAGGAAGACGGCCATTCCATTGATATATCTGCCTTAGAACAACTACAAGCATTGCGAGATGCCAAAGCGAGACAAGATAACAAAATTAGACTGAATGTTGGAGGTATTCGACATGAGACTTACAAATCCACATTAGCCAACATACCAGACACACGACTAGCATGGCTTACCCAGCCCTCAGCGATGAGCAATTCTGATTACGATGCCATAAATAAAGAGTTTTATTTTGATCGCCATCCCAGAATATTCGACGCGATCCTGAATTATTATAGAACTGGGAATCTTCACGCTCCGAGCGATGTCTGTGGACCTGCTTTTGAGCAAGAGTTAGAATTTTGGGGAATTGATGAGAAACAAATTGAGCCGTGTTGTTGGTCAAGCTACACCCAACATCGCGATGCACAAGAAACATTGGCCAAATTAACTGGACCAGAATTCGAAAGTGACGATGATGCTGAAGACACTGACGTTGCGTCGTATTTTAACATCGCAGAGGACAGAGTACAAGCGCCGTCAAAATGGAAAAGGCTGAGGCCGAAAGCTTGGACATTCCTAGAGGATCCCTACTCGTCGAAAGGAGCGGCAGTAAGTGTTGATTATTTTGTTATTGGTGGTGGTGAGGGCGGGGGTGCGCTAAATCCTCACTATTCCCCCTTTAATCAGCCCCTGATGATTGATCGTGTGACATACACGACTCTGACCATGGGGGTATACCGCCATGCTCCGGTTAAATGCACAAATGTGGGCGATTTTACAGATCTCAAATGTGCGCTTCTTAGTTGTGGTGACTCAACAGTCTTCTGTTTCAAAATAGGCGGTAGACATCGCGCGCAGTTTTGAGAACCCCGTTTGCCAACAAATTACATATGCGTGATTTTGACGAAAATGTATAAGAACGTCACTGCAAAACATTGTTTAATATGGTATTATATTAAAGTGATAATAATAATTGTAATTTATAATAAATGTAATCAATATTAATCAACTATAACAAACATTTAATTACATGATGGATAGGCCTATTTGGTAAGAAAACTAATTACATGACATCCAATACATACGGTACTACAGAATGCAGAAAGCTGATATCACGTCCTGTATGGATATAACAAGTTTGAAAGATTTTCTGATGAATAAAAGCCGTTTGCACGTAAAGTTCGTCCGCACTTGCGTCACACGTCAAATGTTCACTCACAACGAACTTTTTAATTAACCGTTAATCCACAACAGTAGCACCAACGTATAGTGGGTGAGGAATTTAATAAGTTATTGTTGTCTCTTCTAATACCACACCTGCTATCTAAATTTTGTTTCTTAATCGCATAGATGTGCCTTATAAAGTGTATTGCTTTCTGTTATTCAATGGATAATCTAAATTGCTATCTACCACCATAGTCATCAACATCATCATCCCTCTTTTCACTATTAGAAAAATTGCCATAGTTTTCTAATGGTACGGTACTTCAGCATCAGCAAACAATTGCTTTCTTGTCACTGGTTTCTAGAGCTCCAATATTGTGTTCAACTTCTTGATCAGATTTTATGTTAGCCTTTGCTAATGACTGGCAGGCGTAAGTTAATGAATAATTATAAATAGGGGGAAAAAAAAGGGAGAAAAAATTGAGAAAAAAAAGGAGAAAAAATGGAGAAAAAAGGGGAAAAATATGTTAAAATTTAAATCGGAGAGTGTCATAATCATAATGTTGGGGGTGAGGTGGGAGGACCTTCTGTCTTTAAAAGTTCCCTCCCGGGCCCCTCTATTTCGAATTCCCGGATCCGCTACTGTACTGGAATCATTGTTTTAAAGATGTTAACAAATATGTAGCTCAGCCGAGACATTTTCGTCAAGCCTTCCTCACAAAGTTGTCTATGAATACATAAAAGATAGTCCAGATTTAATTAAACAGCATTTAGCTTTCATTATTTTACCTCCTGCATATTGTTTACTCGTGATGTCTGAAAAAAATTCGTTTTGATTTCTCCTGATAGGGATGAATTTATTGAGCTGTATAATGCTTGTAAAATATTAAGGTTATTTCTGTATTGACTTGTAATCTGTAATCTCTTGCTCGAAAATTATTTGGGACACTTTATCTTTTACATTTAAAAATAGATAATTTATATGATTTAAAAGCAAATTTAACATTAATATTTTAAATCCTATAACATTTTTTCTTTGTTTTTATCTAAACACAATATTAACAAATGGATAAATAATAGTGTGCTCGAACATATCTTTCGCTATCAAAGCTTTGGCATTAGATGAGTTTTGATTTTCTTCAACAAGTCGTGAAAGTGTAGAGTTGATTGTTAGCCGGGAACATGCTACGCCGATGGTCGTCAGCCGACGCGATTCCTTCGCAGAGCGACAAGGCAAGCGAAAATTTAAGGCGTAGTTAATTACCATTATTTTAATTGTCTTTATCATGATTATTATTATTATTATTATTATTATTATTATTATTATTATTATTATTATTATTATTATTATTATTATTATATTATTATTATTATTATTATTATTATTATTATTATTATTATTATTATTATTATTATTAATATTATTAATATTATGAGTGATGGTTTGCCCCACCTGACGTGTTATCATTCCCAAATACTTGCGAAAAAATCTCAAATGATTCGAGTGGGAATTGAAACCACGCCCTCCAGATCACTCGCCTGATGTCATAACCGCTGACCCCCGTGCCGCTTGCGCTTAGTGACTAGTGTTGAATCCGATTCCCAAGTTGGGAAAAACATCACTCATACGATATATCCAAAACAAACACACATCGAAATATTATTATTATTATTATTATTATTATTATTATTATTATTATTATTATTATTATTATTATTATTATTCTAATTATTATTATTATTATTATTATTATTGTTGTTGTTGTTGTTGTTGTTGTTATTATTATTATTATTATTATTATTACATTATCATCATTATCATTATCATTATTATTATTATTATTATTATTATTATTATTGTTGTTGTTGTTGTTATTATTATTACATTATCATCATTATCATTATCATTATTATTATTATTATTATTATTCTAATTATTATTATTATTATTATTATTATTATTATTATTATTGTTATTATTATTATTATTATTATTACATTATCATCATTATCATTATCATTATTATTATTATTATTTACGACTTTATTATGCGTATTGTACGCGCGCTTAACACGTCAGCTCATGCTAGAGCCTTTGTAAACATGGTTGATAGTAGTTTTTGATTCTCTACGGAGCTATAACAAGTCGTTTCGCTCTCGTAAGGTATCAGCGTTTTTATCGAGCTTTTGTGAGATGTTTGCTTTTAAGGAAAGTGGCTACTTCGACGAAGTGCTGTTTCAATAATGGCCATGTTGTTTAAACATCGTTAAACGTAGGTTATATTTAATAACAATGTACATACAAGAAATCTCTGTGTTAATTAGTGTCATTTGATAGTTGTCTGCCCAGCAGCACACGACAGCATACTACCTTATATGTGGTTTACAATAACCCGTTCGTTACCAGTCCATTAGGGTTGTTTAAACGGACGCATAGTAATCACAGCAGTAAACGACCTAATGAAACAAAATTACTTAAAACAGTTCTATTTTTGTCTATAAATGTTTGTCTCTCTTTTTCTTTTTGTACATACAAAAAGTAACATATTATATAGACCTACAATAATTTGTTGGGTAATTCGTAATTTTCTTGCCTGATGTTGATTTGACAAATTGTGAGAAGCCCTGTCTCTTATACACATCTAGATGTGTATAAGAGACAGCCATTGGGGTGGGGGCAGGGGAGCACCCCTCCCCTACCGTCGTCCGACGAACAGACGAAAAAAAAATTCCTATCCAAAACTCTCTCCATGAACCGTACCAGGGATTACTTTATTCCGGACCGTCGACCGAGGCTTCGTTTCTGGCGCCACTGCTGTGTGACAGGCCTGTGTGACAGGCATGTGTGACTTGTGGGACAACAAGGCTAATACGGTAGAGCATTGGTGTAAAAACAAAATCGATGGTTTGGCATCGTATTTTTCCTATTCTTCATAATTTTTGATAACTTATAGCATATAGTGGCGTCACGACTAGAGGTAGGTTACACTATTTGGATCAAGAACTTTTAACTGTATCAGATAAAAGTCCTTGGTTGGATCTGAGTGGATAGCCATCGTTACTTGATGGCGATCCCTGCTACTGCCACTGGCAATCAGCAGGGACCAGTGGAGTCGAGAGCCAGTAAGGGCCCCGGGGCAACACCTCACATGCCCCCCCCTTCACTTGGGACCCCCACTCGGCCGCTCCCCAAATTAAGTCTCCTCCTAAAACCCTATTTGCCCAAACCCACATACATGAATATGATTCCATGTGAACAAAAGTTTTCATCCTGGCTTGGGCTCGGGCCCTATGGAGATTTTGTTCTTACCCCGAAAATTTTTCACCTTGGTCCGGGCCCCCAAGTAGACCCGGGCCCCTGGACAGCGACCCCCGACCCCCTCTCAACGCCACTGGCAGGGACGGCATCGTGTGGTCAAGGGGTCACAATGATAGTGCACTGGTTCAGCAGGAATCAATGCAAAACCTGAATCAATACCATGCCAGCAACTTTAAGAACCAGCTACGATATCAACCCCAAATAAAACTTGAGCTCGCTAAAAACGTATGTTGATCAAAATATTTATCGAACAATGTACTCAAATAACGGATCGCGCTAATAAACGAGTGAGAACAGTTGATTAAAGTAAACAAAATAAGATTATTAACGAATTGATATGAGTAGGCAGAAGTCTCCCTCCCGTCATTAAATACTAATATATCTTTGCAAAAACCTATTTATAGGCCTAGGCATGTTTGATCAAACATACTGTTAAATTGAAAACTATAGAGATTTAATATTTTACGAACCCAAATCAGCCAAAATCGAAGGGGGTCATAATAGGAGCCTATGGTCATACAGGAAATTCGAATTCAAAGCATAATCTAAACCACAATCAATCGAGAAATAGCAAGTTGCATCGATTATCCAAGAAATAAATTACATTTTGTTCATGACAATTCTCAGCCTTGTGGCCCGGGTTACTAATCCCGGCCCTCGGGGTTTTCTCTCAAGGGGCTATTGATAAAATAATCCTATAACTAGCATTTTCAAACAGAATGAGCGAATTTCGGTTAACAGCCTCTGAAATAAATCTCAAAGGGACTTCCACAGAGACTCGAACTTGGGATTTGTCGCTGTCACAACCAGCAGACCATGAGGTTTTCTGTGGTAAATCCAGTACATGTAGGACTACTTATATAAACGATTGATTGATCGCAAGAAACCTGTTCATCATTTTAAATGTGTCTGACGAATAACACTTAATTCTCAATATAATAATGTTCTCATAATCTATTTTTCTATTAGTTTCTGGTTCAATTCCGGTGTCTGGTGAGAAAACGGATATTACGGTTCAATTTTTGGACTTTGGTTCCAAATGTAACAACAGTCCAGATAAATTAATCACAACAAAGAAGCCAGGGACGGGCAAGAGAGCAAGCATCCTACCTAGGGTAGGATTTGGGACTAATGGTAAGAAATATTGGATTTGCATGGCAAAACGTTATCGTCATTATTATAATCATTGTTATCATTATCATTATTATTATTAATAATATTATTATTATGACAAACGTATGGTCTAATTTCACTCAGGAAGCATCTATCAGCGATCAAGAGTTGCTGATGCGAAATACTTTTGTTTCCATGATAGTTCTGTGATTCGATTTCACCTGTAAATGAAATTCTATTGTTCGAACTCGTGTTTTCTGGGAAGTTAATATCGTGTATAGTACATTCGGATATAATATAGAATAATAAAACATCAATGTAGTGAAAATTAGAGGAAATTAAATGACATTTAAACGAAATGCTGTCAACTGTATCCAATAGGTCTTGAGCTCCTTTTAGAACAAAAGTGAATTCAAAATTATGGGTAACTTATACCTATACTCGAGCTGGCTGTTGATTTGAGGTTGAATTTAATCTAATAATTATTTGGTTTAATAATTAATATACTATAAATGAAGGCAACGCAAAAATCATTAAAAAATTAGGTCTATGACTAATTTTATAATTATTAGGCTTATAACAGTAAGAATCAGAAGCGAACAAACGTCAGTGTATGACTATCTGGATTTAAACCAGGACTATCTGAATATGGTATTAATCATGGATTAATAATAACTTAATAAACTTTCGAGATTACGGGCCTTTGTGATCATGGACCTATTAATAAGAATGGTGTGATATTTAGAGGGCTTTTGAATTGGAGGTTGGACTGTAGATGGAATTTTTAAAAATATCAATTTACATTCTATTGCAGGTGGTGCACGAGTGTCGAGTAACTCTTTCAAGAACCGACGAAGATCAGGTTTACCGACTCCAATGACGGACGTCGGCAGTTGCTGACGCGTTGCCGCTGCAATTAAATGAATAATTAACGCGTTATTATCTTTATTTCTGTATTGACAATAAAGTACCATAACAAACAATGAATACACAAAAGATAATACTTGGCAGCCCAATGGCTGAACTGTAAATTAAAATTTTAAAGGGACGACATCATCACAAGAAATTAAGAACTGGAACACATTCATGTTCTAAAATTGGTGTTGCTAACGCGCGTTAACTTTTACACTGACGGATATCGGATATTTTACGAACGATATTTTAGCCCATGGCTAAATCGAATTAGGCCTAACACCTGTAACAACAGATATGCCTCCTACGCATTACTGTATATTGAGATGATGTGCTGCTACAAAAAAAAACGAATTGACGTAATACGAGTCTCAACGACAGAATTAAACTTTGGTAGCGCGTTCACAATTGCAATGATTATTTATTATGACAAAAGAAATGCCTACATTGTCAGTGGATAACGTGTTAGCCATGAATTGCCAGATGGATCTACTGATATAGCAAAGCGAAGGAAACAGACATTTTTTTTTGTATCGAACACGTTATGAACGAAAAGGAACTATATTCACATTGAGCTTATTCGACTGGTTCATTTCGTTGACTGCGAATTTTCGTTGGGTATTATTTTCGTTGGACTGGTTCGTAAAAAGACTTCGTTGAAAACGAAAATTAACGTAACCAGAGTGCGTTAATCAGCGTTAATTTATCCACGTGACCAAAACAAACATGGCCGAATGGTCAGTTTAGCAACAACATTTGTGTTAATATAATTTTAGATTAAATTTCAAAAAAATGTCGAGTATTTATAAGTTTTCTATTTTACCACTGTGCAGGTGGGCGTGGTTTAATGAAGAACGACCAGTCGAATACGGCCAATAACTGAATAGAAATATAACAAATCAGTTGGAAGCCAGAACAATAAACAATGATGGGCATGTCGCCCAATTGCCAAAGTAATCTGAAAAATGACTCTCGATATATACTGTGAATGGAGGCCTGGAAAAAAAATTTAAACTGTGACGTGACATGGAACAAATAAAGCAATACTGGGCCCTGATGAAAAAAGCCAACCTGAAACAAAATTGAGAATGAGTTTTGACAAATTGTGAGAAGCCTGAAAATAATACAGAGAGCACAATAATGCGCACCTTATACACTTTTGTTCATATAAGCACAATGGGGAAAATTGGTGGCAAAAAATCGCGATAAAGTACATGAATACTATGAATGAAAGACACACCTTAGGCCTAAATCATAGAGACATTAAAACTTATCAAAATTAATTCCTTGCAGTCTGTAACAGGTTTAGTCTAAACTAATTAAGATGCAAATTCACATCTTATTTCAAATTGGTCGGTTTAAAGTCATGCTTCGGAGGGGAAAAAAGTGCACACGGGCCAGCTGTATACACTGGACCTCAATTTTAAGTCCTTATCCGAGAAGACTTGGTTCTACCATGAACCGGGGAGGAGCGGCAGGAACCATAGCCGATATTAAGGCTAGCGACACCCCTGTCCTTACCGCTCGGCCACTCGAGTGATAAGGACTGGCATGTAATACTGTCTTTGAGTTAACAATTACACGAAGTTGTCACATAAAATGTTATAATGTGGACAGACCTTTACATTTAAATCGACTGTTGGTGCGTCTATGACGCCTCAGTGTTTACGGTGTCTGCATATTTTCAACCGATACTGATATCAGGATAAAATGAGCAAAGATTTTCTCTTATTCACTTGATTTCTGAATATTCTTAGAATTCCAATTTGTATTTGGTAATGTCAGTGATTGTGAAAGAAAAATGTTTGAGTGCGATCACGATATTTCTAAGCACTGTTTCTAAATCCTTGCATCACAAAATCAACACCCGGTACTTCCCCCCCCCCCCCACCACCAACAATCATATTTTGCTCTTTTTGATTCATCGAAAGATTTACCCTCCTTCTCCTGTGAACACGGGAACAGACTAAAGTAACAACAGACGGTGCTAATTATATTCTTATAATCAATGAAGTTGGATCTCTGGTATTTATATTATAGATGTCTATTTCGTGAACCAATATATTGTAAAACCTCGAATAGAAGCCCTGGGCTTCTTTTCGATAATGGCTTCTTTTCGAGATGGGCTTCTATTCGAGGCTAATTTTGCAATGTAAACGGGGTGGGGGGCTTTTTTCAAAATGGATGCTGTAATTTTCAGGAATTACTACCATAAAACAATAAATAGGGCCACTGTAACATCAGTCTGTATCATAGGAGTGTATTAACCGACATTCATCACCTAAACTACGGTACTGTATAAATCAAGCGTGTTTTAAATTTATTTTGTTTATTTGAAATTCATGTACAGTGTATGTACTGTACTATCTCGAAAAAAGTCTATACTATCTTGAGGCTCCTATTCGAGGCTTTACGGTATAACAATTTCCTGTCAGGACCTCACGTAGAAAATAATAGAATCGTCCGAATAGTGTGTATATAACGCAAAGTTAACAAAATTGCTGAATATTGTCTTACAATTAACACGGTGGATATATTCTAAGCCCATGGTACAATTTATTTAGTAAAACAACCGAAAAGTAATTGGAGGATCTAGGGTTAAAGTCAATTCATAGTTTGAAGTGCTTATACCCGTATCAAGGTCAATCGAGATACACAAAAAATACACACAACATAGGTTTATGTCGATGTCGAACTTGGATACGGGCATGCGTAGTTTAATCGACGAATTGGCTTATATGTACTTCTAATAAAAAAGTAATAAAACAATAAAATTGGACTGTCATAAAGACTATTCTGAATTTGATTTTTCAGTTTATAGGTACAATGACGAATGTATCGTACCGAAACTTTTTGTGCGCAAATAAAATTGGTATATTTCCCCGAATGCGGTAAATATGTTAACGTTGTCTTCTTTGACCATTGCAATATAGAAAGTCTCGTGCTTGATCAGACGTTTTACCCAACCTCTAATAAATTTGACTCGAAGGAATAATATAGGGTTTACTGACGTTCAATATGAACAATTGAAAAATCGGAAGACTTTTTTCTGTACCAAGTATCGCTTGCTGTGTACCACCCATAGGTCACGACGACTATCCGATCACCAATTGTCTCTATGGGAAAATATGATTAGCCTTAAATAATTATATATTTGTACTACGAGGACTTTTTAATGACATCACTAGCACACTTTTATTATTCTTTTGCACAATGAGAAACAAAACAACAAAAGACACTAGAGTTCCTAAGAATGAAAATGGCCTAATTAATTTAATAGACAATGACATTACAATCTATGACATTTATTATTAGAATCAAATTGTCAATTAAAATGAAATTCAATAAATACAATATAAAACAAACCATTCAGATGATATTTATATGGATAAAGAGAAATAACCCCGACGGCTTGAAAAAAAAATTCTGAAGACTATAGAGGGCAGCAGACACCCCATAATGAACATAAACAAGAACTACCAAATACATAAATTGCATGCAGGTACAGTTTTAAAATAATTTAAATGCAATTAATATTAAATCAATATATAATAACTGTAAAAACAATCTTTAAATATTCGTTTGTACCAGTTGCTTTAACTGGACTTCAAAAACCATGTGCTATTCAACCACATAATTTATGGCCACCTGTAATTATACTAGCAACAAACAATTCAAATAAGTTTGCCAGCCTTCTGTTGTGATCCTAAATTTAACATTTATATAATTTATTGTTGATCTATCAATAGTGCTATACACTTGAACGAATTATACAATTTATATATTATAAATCATAATATATGTAATATTCCAGAGTGAAAATATTAAGATACAACTACAATATAACTGGTAATTTTTTTTTTTATATTGTTGGGAACCATTTCCATTTTATTGGCAACAGTTGTACAGCCTACATACTGTATACAATTCATGAAGTGGTGCTTCTTCTGATCAAGGAATTCAATATCAATAGTCTAAGACCAGTTTGAAGTACAGTTGACCTTGACCTCATATGCAAAGATGATGATCCCAGACAGCCCTATCATGCTGTGCCCGCGACTAATGGCCGATGCGATTCTATGTTGAACGAAATGCCACAACACATGCGGAACGGATGGTTTTCAATGACAATCTGTTCCAACTGCCACCGAAAAACAGCAGATGATATTGCATCGTCTAGTGCTCACTTGGATTCACTGTTTTTTAGCCCTCACCTCACAGTGAGTGCCTGTCTTCGGGGATCAGGTGAGAAAAATTTTAATAGGCACCGTTAGATGTCCGAAAATGGCACTATCAAAATGTCAAAAGGTTTTTGCAAAGTAGTGTTCCCCAATTAAATAATTGGCTCCTTTATAAATTGGCACACAGGGTTCCCCTGTGGGAATCCATTTGGCCTCCATATTCTACTACCATGCCATTGTCATGCTAGGCACACCACTCCACTGAAACCTCCAAAAAATTGTTTAAGTGCCACACTGCTAAAAGGCTCCATACCATATCAACATGCAAAGTATATTCAGCACTATTACAGTATTAAGCAATGCTGTCAAAATTACATTTGTGGCAAATTCAATCCATCTAGTCACTCGTCACAAATCAATTTTTAGTTATCAATACAGGGTTAAAGAGTAAAATAAAAGCTATCCGACATTTCGTTATGAAGTTACAAGAGTTTAAATATACACTACAACTGTTTAAAGAACAATATTTAAGAAATTAGCCTTGAAATTTTATGATTGTTATAACATTGAGAATGGAGATATATAGATATACAGTATATATAATTTAGGTTAGTGTAATAAAATAGATTTAAAAATGTTGAAATTCCTGCATCTTTTGGCCTTTATCTCTGAAACAGGATTTGCGATGAGTGACTTGTTTGGCTTGTCTTTGCCACAACTGGTCTCTGTTGCAACAAGACTTACTTTATGGTAGAGGCGACTCATTTGAGAATAAAATCTAAAACAACTAAATTGGGTTTTAAATCAGAGACCTCTGACAATACAATGGAACTAACGTTCATTATCATTCGATATTTTCAATGAAGATTTTTCCAAATTTAAGTAATTATCAACAATTGAAGCTTAAAGCCGCAACGGCACTGGACTGTTTCCGGTAAAACTAGTTGAGACGCTGGTTAACTTTACCATTAGTCTAGTGCAAACAGCCCAGAAACTTGCCTCTCATGAAAACTTCTCAATGGAGATTCACAGATTAGCGCACTGAATAGTTGATTTTAACGGCTTGGTTAGTGTTACAATTTCTCACAGTAAAACTGACTGACTAACTCCAAATATCTAAGTGCAAACAGTGGTATGTTTTACCCATTGGAATTTACCAACAGTCTCGCTGAAACCTTCCCTTCTAGAAGTCCAGTGCGATTGCAGCTTAAATTAAGCTGTGAGGTAGCCTTTCAATCCAGTACCCTACTAGACTTCATTCAGGACATCGGTGGCTAACATTAATTAATATCCATTTGTTAAGAGGAGTTACATGACTACAAAACGTGTATAAATTATGTACAGTTGAATTTGCCTAAGTTGAATCCAAAATGTCATTGAAAACTTGTTCGACTTGAATGAAATTCGACTTACAGTTTGTTAACTTATGGAAAACACAACAATTTTGGCATGTAAAATAGGATCGACTTATAAATTATTCGAGTTAAGCAAAGTCAACTTAGGGAAGCTTAACTGCATAGAAACCTTTTTTTGATTTTATAGCAGCAATCTACTATGCTATATCCATCACCTTTCTATGAAATAACCAATATAACAACCTCAACATCTATAACCCTTAATCAGAATGAGATAATTTGTTTATTAAAAGTTTTGAAGAAAAAAATCCTTGTAAATAAATATGTAATGGTAGTTGAAAAAAACCTATAAAAAAATCCCAGGCATCTGGTTAAATGTAACATATAATTTACCACTAAATGACTAACACATGCATTCTTAAAACAAAGTTAGTTCCATCGAGTACTCATTGCAAACTCAAACTATGATTCTCGTCCACAAAGAGTGTACGACTAAATCAAATACAATTTGCAGTCAGCTCCAGATTGCTGCCAAGTAAAGACTACCACGATGTCAGAGAGAACTAAGAAGCTGTCAAATTATTTTGAGAACTGGTAATGCAGAATAATGTGAAGCTGTTATCTGTCATTTGAAAACACATTTCCAATAATTCACATGAGACCATCAATTACTTATTTGTCCAAAACTTAATTGACAAATAATATCTGAGTATAGGAACAGTCATTAAAGATGATAAAATTTATAGATCTTTGTTATTAATGGTGACAATTTTTCTTGTACAGTGAAACATTTTGGAAAATGACTATCGCAAAGACTGCTACGTCAACATGTTTATTTAGCCATTAAAGCTAAAGCTGGAATGTCAATTTTAGTTTTAGTTCCTCAAGTAATAGCCCACCCCCTATTGTATGCATAATATTACATACCAGCCTTTCCTTCCTGGGAATAAGCCCACTCCCCAAAATCAGCCCAATTTTGTGTTTAAGGGGGATGAGCTTACTGCAGAATCCTGTCGTATTTCTTCCTTGCACTAAAATGCAAGAAAGAAAGAAAGAAATCTAGCTAGGCTAGAAAATTTGGCCTGTATTCATTGTACAGGTGCGTATAAATTAGTCAATGTTCCAGTAGAAGTTTATTTAAAAAAATTTGAAATGACATCATTTTATAAGCCTTGTTCTAAATAGTTAGATAGAACTAAAGTTTGTTTTAAGAATATGGGTGCAAGTCTTTTCTAATTCTTAATTAGGATCGAATTTATGGAAGTTAATTCAAAATGTACAATACTTTCGTCTATATGTATATATACAACAATTCTTTCACAACATTATAGTGGGACAACTATAAAGTAAAATACAGTTTTTTATAAACTATAAATGGACATCCTTACAGTACACTCTACAAAATATCCTCAAAGATTGTTTACCACATTGCATGCTGGGAGAAATTTGTATCCAGACAACAGTTCTTGCTACCTTTTTCATGCAATGGAGCTTTCCAGTAAATCCTGCCTGCTGGATATGGTTGCAAAGACCAAAGATCTTGTAATAACAAGATAGCGTTCTTTGTGATTTCTGAGTGAAAATTCTGCAACAACGCAGTGTAGGACGCCCTCCCACAATTACTTTTGAACACCGACATATATGATGTACGTGCAAATTCTGGAACAACTGCCATAGTAACAACTAGGATGCACTCTCTTAGTTCCAATTACTTTTATGCTTCTTTACTGAACATCGTAGAATGGCAGAGAACACTATCTTGTTATTATAAGATCTTTGCTAAAGACCCACAAACCTACAGCATAAACTCAAAAAAACGTGTATTTCTAGGATGGGCAGATGCTCCTGGTGCTGGTCAGATCAGTCAGTTATTAAGTTTGATTGTCACTTATGGAAAAGTCCATAGGGACTACAAGTAGTTGAAAATCATTTTTGCAAGATTTTAATAATTTACAAGATTTTATTAATGTAAAAAGATACAACTGATTCTGTATTTCACACATAATGCAATGTGGTAAACAGCATATACTTTCTTGGACCTGTATTGCAAATGTATTCTGTAATCTATTAAACATCTAAATATGAGTAAAACATTAAACTTCTGAGTAATAATAAATTACATTAAAGAAATTTTATATTCTTTTCTCACACTTATTTTTTTTTTTTTTATAGAAAAGTTAATTAAATATTTTCCACATTTTTTTGCACCTCTATTTTAACAGGAAGCAGTACATAGCTGTATCAAGATGTTTTTTCTGTCCTCGTGTAAGGTTTGGTGAGCTTAAAACATGGCTTTACTGCGGTCTGACAAGGATGTCATGGTCACTCTGTTTTGTTAGACTCAATCCAAACAGAGCAGAGTGGCACTTTGGATCCAGTAAGGTCTGAAGTCTATTTCAAGGAACTCTGCTTACTGCTTCGTCTTTAATTCTTTCACAAGCCTAAAATAAAGTAAAAATTAAAAAACACATTGTTACTAGTTAAGTAACTAGGAAAGTCAAAACTTGGCTCTCAGGAACACGTTACAGGGGTTGTGTGGCACTACCCCCGAGTTTAATCCATTCAGATTACATATGCACACATCAGTAATGGCGCCAGTGGGGGAATTTCCTCCTCGTTGGACAGGCCTAGACCTCCGTTTGTCCGACGCCACAACAAAGACGTCGAATCAAAAATAGCTTTTCTATCCAAATAACGTTATTTTGATTGCCCTGACATTGTGGTTCAAAATCACAATTTGGGCCATACTAAAAGCTATAAAAACTCTCCCTGTGAATCCTTCCATAGATTTTTTATTCTGTGACTCTGAAGGAGGCTCTAATCAGCCCGCCTTACTTCAGGGCCCCGTCAAACATGTAAGACAACACTGTCGGCTGGCACACATAGAGCATGGTGTTGCACATAGGCCCAATGGTTTAAACATCTCTTCCAAAAAGGTGGTATGCTATAAATTGTATGTCACAGGTGGACACAAAAACTCCATGGGTCAGTGAACACGCATTGCCACCAGTTTTAACTGTGAAAAGCTTGCTATAAGGGTCCAAATAATGAGCTATGGTCAATAAATATCAAATCAATTAGATTCAACGTAGTTAAATATTAACAATTAATCAATATATCAAGAGTGATGTTTTCATATGGTTGTGTAACCTGGGCAGTTAAATAGGAAAACTGGTCGGGTCCAAGTACAATGATGAAATGGGGAAGTTAAAAAAAAACTGGAGCCCCTAATCTATTGATATTTTTGAAGCAAACAACTATGCTCAAGTGGTACTTAAAAACCTTATTTTGTCAGTTAGCACTCCCTTATTTATTTCTCAATCCCTCTCACTTCACCCCCATTTAAAGACTCTGTTGCAATCACAAATAGTTCAAAGTACAAACTGAAAAGAGTCTTGTTTGGATATGTACTGTATTGTACTAATTGGATGATGAATTCTAGAGATTGTTTTCTTAGTGATAATTTTGGGAGAGGTTGGGCATAGAAAACTAAGAAATGAGATGCTAATCCTTAAATCCTTGATGATGTTCATGCATCTGTAATTTCTATTTTTGTTATATTTGTAAAGGCTAGACAAAGAATGAATGAATGGGGCGATATTGAAGCTACATTATTGATTGTGATCTGGCAAAAGATAGATAGATAGATGGGGAAACGTGACATCATTAATGACAGCATGGATTAATTAATGGATTAAATGGTGAAACATTTCATAAATCAATTTCAGAACCACACATAAAGAGGTGTGTTTTACAGGTGGAGGGGTGGTGTCAGCATCTTACAGACACATGGTTCAGAGATCATATGCACCTGAGCATATGAGGTGAACAAACTTTAGGACCTGTCTGTCTCATCAAGATGTCCGGAAATGACACACTTAGACCAGCTGTCTCTGGCATAGATAATGATTCTAATGTCGTCATCTTGAAGTTCAACTAAAATACCAATAACAATTACTAAAATGGGGTATTTAGAATTGGATCAAAGATAACCACGATCTATCAAAAAGACTTGTCAGGGCACAAAATAAAGAAACCTACTGAATACGAGTGTGCAAATATTATATTGTAAAACCAGAGACAACCTTATTGCTATGATGATAAATGTAATTTAAAAAAAAACTTTTTGAGTTTTATCCTTTAGAAAAAGATAAGTAAAATTTTAACAAGTTAAAAAAATTACTGTATATACGCTATCAGACACAATATTAAAATTTTTAACTAATGGTGTAGGCTTGTAATGTATTGTATTGTACTGAGGTAGCTTGAAATTGGCCAGAGAAGTGGTTGTACAAAGGGCAGATGAACTCCCCATAACTTTCATTATACTTTAAATATACTTGTTTTCTATCGTAATATATTTTATGACCCGCATAGGTCAGGGTAATATGAACCTTATAAGTTCCGATTATTATCAATAATAATAATAAGACTGATGTTTTACTCTACATGACGTGTTATTGTACCGAATTGTTTTTATTTGGGAACCTACTGAGCATTCAGTACCACAACACATAAGGTAGGGCAAAACATCAATCTTATTAAACTTCCTGATGCAAAACCATCATCAAAACAATATTATTATTTCTATTATCAATACTATTGTTTATCATTGTTAATTTTCCAATAAACCATGTAGCAACAACATGAAGCATTTTGAGATGTCTAACAGTTGAAAAGGTTATGAAAATCCGAAATTATTATTGTTACAATGTAGTTCAGTTTATCTTCTCTTTGTAGTGCTAAGCTTTCCTCATTGAATATGATTTCATCCTGGTAAATAAATTACAAATAAAAATAAATTATTATTAAAATTTCCTCAGTAAGTCCTTACCATTCCATTGCTTCATCTAAGCCTTCTCCCTTGATAGCTGAGGTTTTAAATATTTGCCATTTTCTAGTTCGTAACGCTGGAAGTCCTAGTGAGCTTGCTACTTCTGACGGTGTCATGCAGCCTTCCATATCCTGCTTATTTGCAAACACTAATAGTAGAGACTTACTCAATTCTTCTTCCTACAAATAGGAGAGATAGACACATACATTGTGATGTTTAGTTGTTTTTATAATTGTTTATATCAAATAAATAAAATCAAAGTAATATGTTTGGTATTATACTAATAAAATAATTATAATAATAATAATATAATAGCATAAGCCATAATAGCAAAAACAAGACTTCTGCAAAGGCAGTGATTACTATGCAAGTTTGCCACTTATGCTGCTGTCGGTGAAATCGGACTTCCTGTCGGTGACATAGTATTAAGAAGTCTCAGAATTCTGAAAAAAAACTCAACCAATTCTAAGACTTCTGAATACTAACTTTTTAAAACTATATGAGTGGTTTTCAGAGTTGGTCTCAATTTTTTAGTTGTATCAAAGTAACGTCACTGTCTCGCCGGTGTACAGTAGCGAAGGCCCATTTATGTTTCGTGCCTAAATGTTGTTTACATTAAGTGTTATTAATAATATCAATTTAGAAGTGTTTTTAGTTGATTGTAGTGTTACCATAGATCTTACCTCTAACATTGCAACTAATTCTGATTTGGATATTCCAATTCTATCTTTATCACAGCTGTCAACTACATAAATAATGGCATCGGTGTTAGAATAATAGCACCTCCAATAAGGCCTGAAGAATAGAAAATCCATAATATTAATAATAACAAAAACAATAAAGAATAAGGATTGATACTAATCTTCAAAAACATATCAGAATAAGGTAAGAATTCATATTCCACTCTATATTTTTGTAGTAAATCGGTTAATGTAATATTTCTAAATTTTGTATCATTATTTTTCCTTCATTTTCTATTGAATTGTGAATCATAATATTTATCTATCATTAGTAACACTGGTAGGCTCTTTGTACAGTGTTCTGATGCTTGTCTTATGAAGATAAATTAAATCATGAATTATGAGTAGTATATGAAACAGCAGCAAAACACCTGAGGGTATATGTTCTATGTTTACAAAAGCTGGAGTTTAATTAAATTGTACACTAGTTTCTGGTGTGGTCTGTACTAACAATAATATGCCTACTAATGCTTTCACTTTGATTAACAGTTTGATGTATGGAGGCAAAAAAAACCAAAAAAAACAACAAAAAACAGGAGGAAAAAAAAGCAAGTCAGGTTTCCATAAAATTGCTACATTTTATCGCTGACACGCATTGACAGTTGTCAGGAGCTCGAAGGAGCTATTTTATGGAAATGCTCGATATTGGTTATAAAGCCAACTATGTTTCAGGCTTGGTCCTGGAAAATACAAAAACATTTAGCACAAGATTATTTCCACTAGGCCCTAGGCTAGGCCAACATCGATAGGTTTGTTCATATACATTGTACAAAAAAATATTTGATCGATTTTCAGACGTTAAAATTAATTAATGGACATTTACAATACCTGATACTTGTCTGACCACCTAAATCCCACACCTGGAACTTCAGATTTTTGTATGTAACTGATTCAACATTGAATCCAATTGCTATAAGAGAACACACACGAAAAAAAATTTTACGATTACATAAAATACCACTTTACAGTTTTAGTATAATTGATATGTTTATATTATAAATCGGAGTGGAGTTCAATAGCTTGGTGGTTAAGATGCTTGTATTCCAATCTTAGGGTCCTGGTTTCAATTCCTGTCAGTGTTGCAGGATTTTTTCTCACAACCAAAAGAACTCCACTCCCTAAAATCTCATATTGAGATTTAGTTCGTGTAAAGCATTATGCGTGTATGTTTGTCTTGTGAAAGGGATTGTTACCTACAAGTAGGACAGTGATATATTCGCTATTGACAATCCTTGGTACATGTATTGTGTGCCTAAATAAATAAAAAAATAAATATGTTATGATTGTACACACCCACACCTGATGGGGATCAAATATGATGTAGTATCAATATTTATTTTAATATTATATGTGTCTCATTATTACTTGCGTAGCTAGCATTCTACTGTCCAATGAATATTACATACTGGCTGCAATAACAAACCAATCTAAACCACCATGATCTATATACACTATGGATGTATTAATGCACTGCCCAATTCACAACAACAAGGACCCCACTGGTTATTCAGACTTGCCTGGGTTATTCTCAAGGGTATGTTTCACATTAAAAAAGAAACCCAACTCAACATCATTACAATGGACTTACTTGGTATTGTCGTTACAACTTCTCCAACCTGAAGTCTGTATAAAATGGTCGTCTTTCCGGCGCCGTCTAAGCCTAATATCAGTATCCTCATCTCTTTCGAGCCAAAGAGATTTGAAAACAGGGATGAGAAGAAACCACCTTTGAAAATAAAACATTTAAAAAAATCACAATTTAGATTCTATAAATATTCAGGTACATTATGTTCTTATTACGGAAATATAATATTGATGATTTATTATCATGGCTACTACAAAAGGAGCATATCCACAAGAGGATGCTAAACAAAAATTAAGATAGGATAGTGCGATCATTTCAGTATACTGTGGATTTAGGAGGTCAAAGACACATGTGACCTTTTCTTTGATTCCCTACTTTTTACACAAATGAAAATATACAAATTAAGTCCATCAATTGAAAACTTCATGAAAAATTAAAGATTTTAATGATTATTGCTTTTGGTGGAATGTAGACGAATAGATAAATAGAAGACGACCCCGAGTTTGAGAAGGTTCGGAATTCATAATTCTTGCGACTTTTTATGGTCTTGATACTGCATCTAGCTGGCTAAAACAGAGCCAAATGCAGGGCTAATGTTCAGAATACAATACCATTTTATAGGCTTTTAAATATTAATCAAAATCTTATTTCCCAGTATTTAAAATTGTGTTCATTCACACTAAGATTTAGTAGGTTCATTGCAGTACTAAATTCGCATGTTACAGATGATCCACACATAAGATGAACATGATTTCAAAAATCCCGTTTTTAGCTCGTAATTTGCTATTTTAAGCCTTGTATTATACGCAAGTATATACAATATGCTTGCTAGTATTTGAGCCATGCCAGGAAACAATGACATCATCAGGTAGCCTACCAGAAAATGCAGAGAGCTTTCTGCTCCTAGGATACAATGCAAGACTTACGCAAGACGTGCATTCTTCAAACAATTTACCAAACACAACTTACAGCGCTCAAAGCTAAAAAAAGTATTCTGTTTTAAAGTTCAGCATAATAATTATAGCATTTGCAGTACCTGCTGTACCCAGGCTAGTGGCTATGGTGCCAGGCTAGTTATCTGGAGGACGTGGATTCGATTCCCACCCGAATCACTTGCAAATTTTTTTTCGCAAGCATTTGGGAACGTACTGAGTATTCAGTACGAAAACATGTTTGGTAGGACACATTAATACTTGATACTTTCCTGATGGAAACTCACATCGAAATAGCATTTGCAGTCCCCGTTACTACTTGGGGATTGGATTCAACACCAAACACAAGCTCAGTAAGGTAGTGGTTATGGCGCCAGGCTAGTTATCTGGAGATCAGAGGTCATGGGTTCGATTCCCATCTGAATCACTTGCAAATTTTTTTTGGCGAGTATTTGGGAACGTACTGAATATTCAGTACGAAAACACATCAGGTAGGACAAAACATCACTTCTATGATATTTTCCTGATGCAAACTCACATCAAAATAACATTTGCAGTACACACTG